GGTTTTGTTTCAGAGCCAGATAAGTATGTGTACACTTGTTTCTCTCTTGCTTTCTTGATTCTTCTGCAAAAGCAGAACCACCCCTGTGGGAGACATTCCTTATTCCCTGTCCCTTCGAGCTTGTCCTTAGTGTCCCCTTTTAAAGCTAGCTCTTGTCTCTCTTCCTATTCAAGCCAGATCCTCCCTCCCTTGTCTAATTCTTAGCCAAGCATAGCAAGGACAGCTGGTGAGAGCCTTGAAAAAAACAATGGCACCAGACCCTGCTTAATGGAATGCTGCTTGTGCCAGTCGAAGCTTCCTGGATCGGAACAGTTGATTTTGAGTTGTGGCCCATTCTCTGACCCATATTGAAGCACTACATTCAGGAGGGATTAAAAGCCTTGTGAACTGGAGTAAGAAGAGGTAGAAGAAAGAGGTTGTATGGGTCTAGAAGGAATCAATATTGTTTCTTTGAAAAAGCCTATGTCTGTTCCCAGACTGACCATCTGGGACTATGGCTCAAAGTCAGCTACAACGAAGAAAAGGAGAATTAAGTTAGGACAGGGAGAACTTGCAAGGGCAGATTTCCATGGTGGCTTGTTTGGGAAGACTAAGGAGGAGCCAAAGACGCTGAAGAGAGAGGAGGTTCAGGAAAAGGAGAAACAAACTTAAATTCCTGTAGGTTCTTGTAGTTCATCTGTCCCTCCTGTGCCCCTACCAAATGTTTTCCAGATGTGAATAAATAACTATTTCTGCAGCACTCACAACTTCTTCCTCGATTCTTGAATGTGTCTTTAGTATAACTTTACAAAAGTGTTTTTGTTTTCAATGAATTTGTCATTTCCATTGGATTCCAAACTTGAAGTTTATGGGGAGTGGTAAGAATTTAGAGAGATGGTGTTGCTGTTTCAATGCCCCTACAGCAAAGAAAGTGTTTTCTCTCTTCGGAGACTCGTGGCCTCACTTTTCTTTGGGGGAGGGTGGTAACCGGATGAATTCAGTGCAGCAAAAGTGGCTGGAAGAAACAGAAAATAGATGTGTGATGCAGAAAGATGCTAAAACTGAGTTTGCTCAGCAGAATAAAACCTGCTCCAGCTAATTTTGTGGAATTGGAGAGACTTTTAGGAAACTAGATACATTTCCCCACAAAGCCAACAAGGCTGAAAAGTGATAGAATTCTTGGTCCTTGAATCTGGGATTAAGTTCAATGCTGAGGTCAGCAGTGATATGGTTCCTGGGGAGTGCGGTGTTGAAGAAAGAGTGGTAAGAGATTAAGTGATGAACAATTGCTAGCTCTGGGATGGATTTCTATGTGTACCTGGATGAATCCTTAATATATATATTCATATAATACAATATATATAATTATATAATCCTCAGTCTCCACTAATCAATTAAAATAGCAAACTGAATCTACTGAAAGGATATTGGGCCACAGTAGTGGAAATGTAAGAAGTGATTTCTTGTACACCATCGATATGTTGCTTCAGAAGGGAGTTTTACACATAAGGTCTCTCCACCAGGATATCTTCTAGGTCTTCTTTCACCTACCTCGTTATATTTCAAGAGCAGGAGGTCTGACTGACTGTGAGAGCCTTCCATCTACACACTTTCTCAGACATCTCCAGTCCTCATGATCCAACTAAATACATTGTCTCCACACTTCAAATCTGATCTGCCTCACACATTACCACCTACAGCAACATCGATAGCATCAACCCCTTCTGGTGAGAAGGTTCAGCATCACCCTTTACTCCTTCCTCCCTCTGGTTCTCCACTGGCCAGTACCACTCTCACAGTCTGCTTCATGTCTTTCTTCATTATTGCCTCTGCTTGAATTCAAATTCATTACCTTTCGTCAAGGCCAACAACATCCTTTTATTTTAATTGAATTGAAATTCATATTACAGAATATTAGCCATTTTATTTATTTATTTTGTACTGAGTTGTCTGTTTTGTCATTTCCCCCCCAGCTCTATTGATGCATAACTGACAAATAAAGTTATATAAATTTAAGGTGTACAACATGATTAACCATTTAAAGCAATTTATTACAATCCCAATATTGTGCAACCACAACCGTTACCTAGTTCCAAAATATTTCCACCACCCCACAAAGAAATCTGTGCCCGTTAAGCAGTTACTTTCTATTCCCTCCCACTCCTAACCTCTGGCAACAGTCTGCGTTCAGTGCTATAGATTTACTTCTTCTGGACATTTCATAAATATGAAATCACACAATATGTAATCTCTTGTGTCTGGCTTCTTTCGCTTAGCATGTTTTCTAGGTTCTTCCACACTGTGGCATGTATCAGTACCTCATTCCTTTTTGTGGCCGAATAATATTGCATTGTATGTGTATACCATAATTTGTTTATCCATTCATCTGTTGGACATTTAGGTTGTTTTCCACCTTTTGGCGGTTCTGAATAGTGCTGTTGTGAACATGCATCTTCATGTATCTGCTTTGTAATTCTTTTTGTTTCGTCAAACAGTAATCCTATTTTTAACTTTTTGAGGAACTACCAAACTGCTTTCTACAGCAACTGAACCATTTTACATTCCCACCAGCAATTACAAGTGTTCTTATTTCTCCATATCTTCACAAACACTTGCTGTTTTCCACTGTATTATTATTATTATTATTATTATTATTATTATTAATCTTATATTCGAATGTGTGAAGTGGTATTAGTTTGCATTTCTCTAATCATTAATGATTAATGATTAATGATTTTGAGCATCTTTTCATGTACTTTTTGGCCATATGTATATCTTTTTTGGAGCACTACCTATGCAAGTCCTTTGCCCATATTGATTTGATGGTCTTTTTGTTATCGAGTTAAATTGTTCCTTATATATTCTGGATATTTGACTCTTATCAGATATGTGATTTACAAATATTTTCCCCATTCTGTATGTTGTCTCTTTCTTTTTTTGATAATATCCCTTGATGTAAAAAAAAAAATTAATTTCGATAGAGTTCAACTTACCTACTTTTTTTCTTTTGCTGCTAATGTTTTTGATGTCATATCTAAGAATCAATTGCCAAATCCAAGGTCATGAAAATTTACTCCTATGTCTCTTTCTAAGGGTTTTATAGTTTTAGCTCTTGTATTTAATCTATTTTGAGTTCAGTTTTCAATGGTTATAAAAAAAATCATTCTTATTAAAGTATAATTTAAATACAAAAGCATTCGTTAATTTTTAGTATGCTACTTGGTGAGTTTTGACAAATGCATACAATTATGTAACCACCAACATAGCCATGATTTGAATATTTCTATAACCCCTCAAAAGTTTTCTGGCTTCTTTTTATACCCTCTCTGACCCTGGCCCCTGGCAAGAGCTAATTTGCTTTATGTCAATGCACTTTGGGCTTTTCTAGAATTTAATATAAATGCAACCATATAGAATGTAGTGTTTGTGTCTGGCTATTTCGCTTATAATACTTTTTGAGATTCACCCAAATTGGGTATATCAGTAATTCATTCCTTTTTATTTCTGAGTAGTAGTCTCATTGTATATTTATACTAAAGTTTGTATATCTAATCACTGTAACATGAATTTTTGTTTTCAGTTTTCAGCTATTATGAATAAAGCTGCTATGCACATATCATAACAAGTTTTTTAATGGACATATTTTTTTTTATTTAGATAAAATCCCAGGAGTAGGAGTGGTGAGTCAAATGTAAGTGTATGTTTAACTTTATAAAAAACTGCCTTTTACCAAAGTAGATATATGATTTTCAATTCATGTTGTCTGAGAGTTTTCAGATATTCCACATTCTCAACGACACTTGTTATTGTCCGTCTTTTTTCATTTTAGTTATTCTAGTAATGTGTATTGCTGTCTCATATGGAGATTTTTTACTTAAATTTATTTTTAGAGCGGTTTTAGGTTTGCATGAAAATTGCACAAAAAGTAAAGAAAGTTCCCATATGTTTCTCTCCCATCTCTTAAATTTGGTGTGTGTTATGGGGTAAGGGTCCAATTTCATTATTTTGCACATGAATATCCAGTTGTCCCAAGACCATTTGTTGAAAAAAATTCATTTCTCATTGAATGGTCGTGGCACCCTTGCTGAAAATCAACTGGCCATAGATGTTGGACTTTCAGTTATATTCCACATGTCTATACGTCTATTTTATGTCAAGACCATGCTATTTTGAATACCATAGCTTTATAGTAAGTTTTGAACTCAGGAAGTATGAGTCTTCCAACTTTGTTCCTTTATTTCAATATCATTTTGGCTATTCAGGGCCCCTTGCAATTCCACATGGATTTGATCATCGGCTTTTCCATTCCTGCAAAAAGGGCCATTTTGATAGGGATTGCCCTAAATTTGTAGATTGCTTTGGGTAGTATTTCCATCTTAACATTATTAAGTCTTCCAATTCATGAACATGGGCTGTCTTACCATTTATGTAGTTCTTTAATTGCTTTCAGAAAGGTTTTGTTATTATCAGTATATAAGTCTTTCACTTGCTTTGTTAGATTTATTTCTAGGTATTATGTTCTTTTGCATGCAATTGCAAATGGAATTGTTTCCTTAATTTTCTTTTCAGTTTGTTCATTGCTGGTATACAAAAATACAATTTATTTTTGTGGGTTCATCTTGTATAATGCAACTTTGCCGAAGTACTAAGTGCCAGGAAAAGTCACTTGTTTTTTCATTTAATTCTCCCTTGATCTAACTCTGCCCACTTTCCAGCATCATCTCCCATGACTTCTTTCCCTGCAGTCGACAGCCCAGCCATTCAAGCCACATATTGTTCTCCAAATCCCCCATAATGCTTGTCAAGGTTATCTTTATGCTGGTATTTCCTGAATCCGAAATGCCCTACTCCCTTGCTTCTTCAAGTGTCTTACCAATGACATCAATATTACTTAGAGCTTGTTAGAAAATGCAGAATCACATGCCCTGCCCCAGGTACTAAGTCAGGTAGTGCAATTCCAGTGATTTCGATGTGGATTAAATTTGAGAAGCATGACTCTATTCTCTCCTTTTCTACCAGATAACCCCTCCAATCCTTCAAAGCCCAGCTGTGCTGTCAGCTCCTCTGGGAAGACTTTCTCACCACTCTGGTAAAGTCAATCATTTTCTTTGTGTGCCGTTTCCTTTACACATGTCTTCTGTATCTGTTCATAGTAGACTGTGAGTTCCAGGAGTTGATAAATTGAATTGACTTCATTTCTCTGTCTTTTGCAGACAATTGACCTCCAATAGATAGTTGTTGAATTAGGCGAATAGCTATCCACATGAGGGAGACTTTATTGTCACCCTTTTGCAAATACAGAACTGGAGCTAAAGGAGATTAATGCTGTCTTGTAAGTGACAAAGTTTGGATTTGAGCCCAGGCCTCCTCATTTCAATACCCACATCCCCACCTCTACGCCATACAGCCATTTTAAGAATTTTGGACAATGCAGAGAACTATCTTAGGATATTAGGATTATTTTCTGCATGTAGGCAATTGCTCATTCTAAAGTCTGCTAGCAACTAAGAGTAAGGAAAAGGAGGCCATTCAGAGAGATTGGTGCTGGAAAATGATGGCATGCTTTTGGAAAGCAAAGAAATATTTTGTGATTTTTAAGGTCCATTTGCAAAGATCAGTCCTCCATGTGTATGTCTACATGTGTACAGTGTCTGCCCTAAAAAAGTACACTCAAAATATATTGTCTAAATGAATAAGTGAATGTCTTTCTTTGTACTTGAGTGTCCAAGTTCAGATGTGTATATGCATTGCGCATATCTTTGAATATTTATGTGTATCTATGACTATGTATTCCAGGCCCTTACTGCTCAAGGTGTGGTCTGAAGATCAGTAGTGTTGTCATAACCTGAGAATTACTGGAAATGCAGAAACTCAGGTGCCACCTCAAACTCACTGAATCAGAATCTACATTTTTAATCAGGTCCCCAGATGATTCATGTGAAAGTTTGAGATACACTATTCTAAATCATCCCAGGTATGCCAGGACAGGCTGTCATGTCAGGTCTAAGTTCAAGATGCTGAAGAGTTGCCAGAAATAGATGCTTTAGTCACAGTACACTGGTATCATTATCTCACACCTCTGCTCTTCACACACCTGTAGACAAAGATCTAATTTACCACTTAAAAAAGAGAGTACATACATGCCACCACAAGCACACAGAGCAAATTTGAACCTTGTTGATACTTTATGATCCACTTTAGCTTTAAGGTCTTCCTCTGTCAGGACATAGTCATTTTTCCTCAATGTGCAAAGAAACTTACCTCTTTCATTCAACAGAGATACTTACCTGCCCCTTTCTTCCTCTCGCTACTCTTTTCTGGCTTTCCTTTACTCTCCCCTTCTCCAGAAACTCATGTACCAAGAAGATAACTTTTCTCTTCACTCACCTCCCAATTCTGACAATTCATAGAATTATTCTTTTTTTTTTTCACTGCCTCCACACTTAGAATTAGATGTGGATATCTGTCTGTTTTGTTTAGAGGGAGTTGGGGAACGATTGATATTTCAAAGAAAAAAAATATGCCCTCCCCTTTTCTTGAATTTGTCTTGGAAATTATAATATTGGTTGGTTACCTGACACATCCTCTATCCTCATCTATTGTCACCCACTTGTCCCCTACCCTAAGCCCTTTTTCAGACTATAGAAATTATACTGGGGTCACATTTTCTTTCTCTGCCAGAGTGACACATTCTTCAACTTAAAAAATGACATTTGGAGCAAGTTAAAGATAACAACTAGGAGTTATTTCTGAACAACAGTGCATTAAAACTTATCAGTTCCTTGAGCACTGTGTCCAGAGCCATCTGCTCTAGATTGCTTCTTCCTTCTCTGACCTCCATCTTCTTTTTGTTCTATGTGAAATCTCTCCCTCTTCTCTTTAAATACCCTCAAATGTTCTCCTCAGCTAAATCTCCTCATGGGGTTTAGGCATTTACAAAAGGTAAAAGATACAACTGTCTTAAAATAGCTGCAGCTTTCTGCCCTGCAAAAATACCCCAATGAACAAACAAACAAAGAAAAATATATGAGGTCCTGCTACTTACCTGAAATGCAGGAGAAAGGGAAA